ATGTTTTGTAATTTGTATGTTAGCTCTTCTTAATGGTACATTATAAGATTAAGGTTGCTCAGCAATTGTTGTTGGGTGTTGGAGTACTGTAAGTATTCTGCAATTGCGTGACCGTTGTCAAACTGAGCACAGTCAGACTTGATTTTTATCGGTACGATAAGAAAAATGCGAGCTTATGAAGTAAGTAAAGAAATATTATTCATGTCAGATTACTTAACTTTACTTTATTCCGGCCTGAATGAATTTCGCGGTCATACATCTTTCTTGGAGTGGGCAAATGCTTTCATAGTGCCGATAGTTGATTCGTCGAGGCATTTAAGGGATTTGCCATTAATAACACTATACATCAGACCCTATAAGTTTTCAATCAATAAAAATCCGAAATAGTTATTTTTCTCAGTATTTTTCAAAGTTATATTTAGGTGAAATTGCCACTTCTCGCATATTAAAAATAACGTAAGTAAAGACAAGATTAAAGTAATCATTGCCCCCTTTTCTCTCTTTTCTGAATATCCTTCATGAACCCATTTAGCTTTGCATTTATTCACCAAGGTTATAAACTGATCAAAATCAACAAGGATGGATTTTTCCACTGGTACCTCATTTAGCAAATTTTCACCTATCTTTATGTATCTTGAGAGAGTTACAGACACAAAAAGGAACATTTGGGGTAAAAAAATCTATACGTCCAATTTTTCCATTCACCTTCTATTATCTACAGATTAATTAAATGTCCCTTTCCTGAAAAGTTAGCGGCCAGAATTCCTTGCAAAACAAAGACAGTGGGAAGACGATCAAGTGCCGGAGCAACGTACAGAAGAAGAAAGGCAAAGGGAAAAAAGAGAGCGGGAGAGAATGATCGATATAGGTTTGTAAGAGATGTCCAATCCAATGCGCCTAAAAAGCTTCTAAATTAGTGTACGTCCAATTGAGCAGTCTTGTGTTGCAAATCTATTTTTTCAGCCATTCCCATATCAAGCTAACTGGCTAGCCTGCATAACAGGCGCGCGTTTTTCAGGCGAGCGAAGGCAATTAATCCCGAAGCCGCCAGAGCGAATGCAAGCGCGAAGCGAGTGAGGAGAGCCATTAAGGGGTATGTCTGGGGCGGAATGCAGAAAAACAATGCTACGTGGACAGGCCGTTGTTTTTTCTGCGTCTTCCCCGTCGCGCTTATCTGTGCTTCTCACTCACTTGGCGCTTGCCTTCCTGTCCTGCAAAAACGCGAAAAAAATAACGCCTGTTATGCAGGCTATTAACTGGTTGAAAGCCGGTCCAAAAAGGAGGGTTTGGTTAAAAGGCGGGGTTTTCTTCTACTAAAATTGGCCGTCAAAAAAGAGTTAAAGGGGCTATGCCAAGCTAATTGCTAGTTCATTTTAAAAAGCTAATATGGTCTTCATTTCGCATCAATTTACTTCCAAAAATTATGGTCCAGTTTTGTTATGTAAGACTATGTTTAGGCACTGAAACTGTTTCCTGTCGCGTTCTGTTGCTACTGATGGCTAGGATGGACATGGACTGAAAATTGGAAAAATTGGGTCATCTGCATCACCCAAAAAGATATTTTTGGCTAGTGCTCCCTGATAAAATGATACCTTCTCCATACCCCACATGTAACTCTACAGGAACATTTTTTGACTGGGTTAAGGCAGTAAAGGCAGTAAGTAATGACTGATAATTAGCCCAAATCAGCAAATATACTGATTTGTGGTCTTCTTGACAAGAACTGTCACAGGGATCCCAGAACCCCCGCCTCACACATTGATCAATCTGTAACCAGCTGTTGCCATGTTTCGTTCCTGCGGATATATAATATTAGATACCGTCCAAACTTAAGGACACTGTAATTAGAGGGTCTGCTGCTAAGAGGGAAATATCTAAATATTGGATTGTTTTTTGCCTGGTATCACAAATGGCTAGAGCTAAAATCTTCATTGTCAAAATTCCAAACCAAGGAAAAAATGTTTTTCCGTAATTTTTTGGTAACGGCACATGTTATTCAGCAATTAAATAGCCCCCACCCCCTCGCTTATGCCATAGCTATAAACATCAATTTAAGAGCAGTTTTATCGCATAACTCTTCTTTCCCTTTGTCTGAAGTTCTTTCCTTCTTTACTTTGGGAAACGGTTAGGCGTAAATAAAACCGCCGATGCCACTTACTTACCTCGCTATGTTATTTAGCTCCTTGTTCGCTATCAACTACCCTGAGAGCAGAGGTCCTTTGATCTTCCTAGATAAGTCGTGAAGAGGAAGAGAAGGGTAACTATCAACTAAACAGTGATTCGATCGGACGTTCCGGTGTGAAGGCTCGAGCTGGGACATTGCGGATACTGACGTTAATACCCCTGAGCAAAAGGCAGGTATTTCTTTAAACAAAACTCGGGTCCGCTGTAAACTGAAAAACGTATTCAAGTTACGCTTTTACTGTGTGTCACCATACTGCCAGGTTAGTAAATGGTACTTATGTCGATATAAGTTCGTTGCCGCAAACTGCGATAGGCCAGGGGCGTCAAGGATGACCTTTCTGATATTTCTCTTTTCAAGATGATGCTGCGTTTTGCAAGCACTCGACATGGGTGGGAGTTGGTTAGAGTAGCTCAATAGCGGTGAACAAGGAGTCTTATCTTCCATGGACAAATCCTAGTCGCATCGTCGTGAAAGGTGATTTACTCTGTTGGAGTACAGTTGAAACTCCATGTGCGACCACCTATCCAAAACGACAAAACCCACCCAGTTAAGTCTCCAACTGGAATCTCTCCTGTAGCTGGTAGCTGCCTAATTATACCTCTTTTTGTGAAAAAGTAAAGAAATTAACCAAGGGACGGGTTGTTGTTTGTAATACGTAGTAAAAAAATTGGATTTCAACATCTCTGACAAGAAAATGCTAACTTTTAGTGCGTGACTGACAGGCATGCAAAGTTAGTATCCCTTCTTTCTGAAAAGAAAATAAACTACTAAGAAACAAATGATGTTGCGAACAACACATTGTCTGTTCAAAACAAAGTTTCCATAAAGTTTCATGAGGAGAAAAAAAATCAGTAAAGGAAGGCGGAGCTGCTCGAGACGTAGTTGCGTGACATTGTTACTCTAACTGTTAATGACTTCCTTTCACGCAGCGTATCCCGTTAGCAAAAACCCTCCTTCAAAATAAAATTTAAAGGAAAATGTACCTACCTATTTTAGACATACCGGAGGCGAATTTACGATGATACAGATGGATGCTAATTAAAGGAAGTTAGGAGAAGAAACGAGAGACATGGGATATAGTTTACATAATAATTCGGCGCTTTTATATAACGCTTCTTCGAGGTCGATTTTTATTATTATTATTTTGTGAACGGTTAATTACTCTGATATTTTAACATGAACTTTATCAAAAAACCGTTTTCTTGCTTCGTTATGTTTCCGAACATAACATACTGACCCTGAATTGGAACAAAACCGGCTGCCGCAACATTTCTCGACAAATTTGACTTATGCAAATTTGTGAAATTTTTCCACTGGTGGTCACGAAACTTTTTATTTTGTAAAGGCGAATCCGGAGTACCCAGATTTTTTGCTTCATATTCTGTTAATATAAGAGCTGAACTTTGTTCTAGTATACATTTTGGCTAGGTATCAGAAATACCAAGGTGAGTTTTTTTTTTTTTCTGAAGTTGCTCCTTTTTAGCCATTTTAAAAAGTGTATTGATGGTAGTTTTTAAAAACCATAAAAAAATTCAGAATCAAGTTTATGATTTAAAACATACCATGGATAGAAAGAAAAGATAGAATTCTTTTAAACAAAAGTATTTCTGTTTTATAGCTTTGAATCTTGCCTCGGTACAGACGCGATAAAGTAGGTCACTTTAACTCTTATTTTTGCATAATTAATTAGGTAAAAACCGCTATTTTCGTTTTTCCTCATTTTCTCGAAAACTATAGATTCTTGGAAGTTGAAAATATTTTTTTCGAAGATAGTTCCCCAAAGGGGTTTTTCTGACAAATTATCAGAATTTTCGATTTTTTTAGCCTGGCCAGCGATTCTCGATATTTACAGTCATGGGCTCTTAATAATTTTTTTATTTTAATTCATTTTTAAATGCATACTGTAGTCCAAATAGAAATGAATTTCATTATCACAATTGAATTTAATAAATATAATAAATATAACAATACTGTAAAACTTTAAGGTCAAAAAATTTAGAATTTCATTATTTTGAAACCATCCAGTTTTCAATATCAAGAAATAAAAGTGTGTAAAGAAATAACACACACACACAATAAAGATGGAAAAGATTAAGAAAAGAATGCAATTAACAAAGTGCAGAAAAAATAAAATTAATTATTTTAGTCTGTACAAAACACGCACACATTAAAAAAGTGCAAAACTACAATGAATACAAGAAAGGTGTAAATTTAAAGTTTTTGTACAGTCAGCAATAGCTAGTCCTCATCTGAGTCTGAGAGTACAGAAGCTCTGATCCTTTTCCATGTACGTCGTGGCTCTGTGCTTTGGTGAGTTGGCACTGGCATATTAGATAGACCTGGAAAGCCAGGAAATGCACCATAGAAATTCACTGTACCTGTAAAGTTGTTGATGGTACTGAAACTGTTGCTGGAAGAACTGGCTTGAAGGGGTAGTCTATCCTTATTAGGGCTGCTGTTAGCAGGTTGTTGTTGAATATCACTTGTTTGCTTACATCCACTGATTATATTGGACAGTTCCCTTGCCTGATTCTCGTCATCTCCTTCATATGAATTAAGACTGAGAATATTACGGTGTCCAGTAACATCAATAATCTTGTCCCTCGGGACACCAGCATTCTTTAGCTTTTGCACACAAGTTTTTCTGCTCGAATGATTGGTAATTTTCTTACCATTGGCGGAAGTGTTAAACCAGACTTGACAGCCGAGTCTTTCATAAGCTGTTCAATTTTGTGTTCACCCATTCGTTGTCTGCTAAACCATACTTGGCCCTTGGGTTTTGAAATAGTTGTCAAGTAGAATGGCCCACTGTCTCTCATTTCTGGTGGTCTTCTAGACAACATTTTTCGAAAAGCATTACAGGGCATCTTTCGCCGCCAGCGGAAAACATTTTGGGTTGTACAGCTCTGTGGGCGATCCGGAGACCTCCTTGCCTCGTTTTTGTAGGACCTTCTTTAAAAGTTATGTATTTGACAACGCTGTCAGGACTGGTTATGATGCTGAAATCTTCCACCATCATTGAATAGTGCTCCTGTCTCCCTCGGAGGCCAAAGTGTTCAGTGACATTTTTAAAGTTTACATTGACCAGAGCTTGAGCAGAATGTTTACCGAGCTGACCTGACTGCAAGAGGAATTCTTCGTCTTCTTCATTCAAAGCGTGAGATGCACTTTTTCGCCTTCCGTAACCCTTCACTCTAAATTCTCTTGCTTTCGCCTCAAGTTGTTGCCTTGACTTTTCAAATTCGCGGTCTCGCAAGATGCTGTGTTTTTTGCCAGCGTTTTTTAAATGGCGGTCCAACGCGCTCTGCATCACTGCCAGACTTTCTGGTTCATATTCGCCGCCGTCTTTTTTTCGAATTTCGGCTAAGAAGCGGCAGACAATTGCATCTAGCTCTTCTGGAAGGATATCTTCAAAACGTCTCGCTTCGTTACGCTGGAGTTTCCACTCGTTGAAAACGCTCAGCCACGTTTTTGTGCTCTTGGCGGTGTTTGAGTTTTCGTTTCTGCTTCTAAGAGTATTAATTTCCTCTTCCTGCAACCATGGAAATCTCTCATTTGTGTTAGAACTGCTAAAGATGGAAAAATTTGGCAAATTTTCTTCACTGAATTCCTCCATGTTGTCAACAACAATGGCGACCTGTCCTTCTTTCAGTGCTGACGTTTGCTCACTGGTGATTGGTTGGTTTCACAATCTATTGTTTTTCTCGGATTTCATTGGCTGAAACAGACTGTCCTATTTTTTCCCAAATAGGACTGTTTCTGCATTCTTACGCAAATTCCATATTGAAAACTGTCCAAATTAAATCCCAAATTGGACAGTTCTGAGAATTTAAAGGATAATAGCCGTGCTGACAATACTGGATTAACTGACTGCTATATATGAAATGTTAAAGTGCCCATAACCTAAAATTTTATATTTTCTTATCTGAAACTTCACCTTATTAAAATAACTTCTGCTAACAAAATTTTGCTATTTGAACCAAAGACGATTTTTTTAGAATTTTTTAAAAACGTTCAAATTTGCCGCCATTTTGGCACACCATTTATCTTAGTCTTCTCTCGGAGTATGACGTCATATGACGAACTTTAAGGAACATGTGACTTTATCGACAGGAAAACATTAATAGTTCTGGTAGGTTTTTCTGTTTCAGAAAACCTTTCTTCTTGCTAAGACGTTGTGAGTCAATCCTTACTTGTAATTGATCTTTTTTGTGTACAGCTGGTGAAAGCAAGGTAATGCGAGTTCCTTAATTTACGTCACATGACGTCATATGTGAGCCTGCTAGTGTGCGTGACCAGCATGGCGGGTGTACCGCAAAAATTGGTAAAAAAAATCGCGTTTTGTTCAAACTGCAAAATTTTTTCGCAGAAGTTATTTTAATAAGGTATCGTTTCAGATAGGAGAATAAAAAATTTTAGGTTATGGGCACTTTAAAGCTCTATGACGCCATTTCTAGTGTCCTTACTGTGCAAAAAATTTTAGTCAAAAATATTTGGTAATTGATCGTCATTTTTATGCCTGTTTTCAATCCAAGGGAGCGGGGTGGAAGATAACTCTATTGTTTTCCACCGAAGTTTCTTTACCCACTCCGCCTGCCAGTATGACGTCACATAGTAACGGGCAAGAGCCTCGGGTCGCTTGTGCAAATTAGCAAGGGATACGACAATTAGTAGGACGAGCGAGGTCAAGGAAAAGCTAAGAAGCTAGAAATTATCGCTATATATTGCTAATTTGATCGTAAGTGTGTGAGCTTTGTTGTTACTATAATCTGCTCGTGTAAACCGTTTTGCTATTTTTTGTCCGTAATTGTGTAATTTTGTTAATTTGTTTTGCGGCCGTGTTGCGGGATCGCCATCTTTTTCACGGGACCGGCAAGGTCATCAAAACATAAATCCTTTTTTTCTCTAAAATAAGCAAGGTCTAGTCTCCAAAATAGGAGGTTCCACTCACAGATCATACACGTTTGTACAGTAATAGCCCGCGTATAAGAACCTGGGTTTTAAGAACCTGTTAGGCTAAAATTTTCATTTTAAGCCCCCTCCACATAAGAACCTATTTAGGCTAAAATTTTAAGTTAGGTTCTTATCAGTGGGGTTGCTGTAAAAGTGTATGGGTAGAAACTTTCTTTGTTATGTTTTGTTAAGGACATATGCTGTACCTGCATTGAACTGCCTATAGGCATTGCTCTATGGTACAAATAAATGATTTATACTGTATTATGAGATGATTTTTATAATATATATAGTATATTCAGATGAAATTCATATGAAAATATAAGAACCTATTTTAAGAACCTCGGTAGCCTAACTTTGCTTTAAGTACCATTTATATAAGAACCTATTTAGGCTAAATTGAAAAATTCAGGTTCTTATACGCGGGCTATTACTGTATTTCATCTAATCTTTCGCTGGTTTAAACGACTTAACTTCATATCATTCCTTTCGACTGTGGGCCTCTATCTAATTCTTCACCAAATTTTACAGCTGTGATCGATTTCTTTGTCGCTGAGGCAGTGTCTTTCATTCTTTGCTGACTATTTGTAAATATTTTGCCTGACGGTCCTTGTATCATAATTGATAAACCTTGGTTTCTTGTGTGGCTTAATATTTGAGGGCTTTTACGCTGGTAAATTGGCTTTTTGAAAATTGATTGTATGTGGTACTTTTGGTTTTTTATACAGCTTAAATTGTTGCTGTGGTTGTTTTGCTGAACTTTTCATCGTGTGGTGTTTGCTCTTGCAGGCATTTGTTTGAATATTGTTTGATAGTTCCTTAAAAAAAAAAAACACAAACCATAAAAATTGGGTGTTGTAATTATTGATAAATATTGTTAAATTTTGTGTATGAGAACATTAAGTTATTTATACAGTAATTGAGCACAACCGATCTAGGTGAAGTATATAAATTCACAACTATTAATTTACAATTTAAGTATTCCATAAAGAATTTGGGGAAAAGGGAAATAATTATAGTGTTTTCAAGTAAACAGTTAGATATAATAGTAATTAAAAGGAAAGTGGCTTAATATTTATGTAATAATCTTTTAGTATCAATAATAATTATATTATTTAAGGAGAAAGCAAAGAAAAACCTACATTAACATGAATAAAAGACTGGCCTTTAGTGTAATATTGGTAACAACTATTTTGTTGTATGATTTAGTGTTGTGAGTGTTGTGTGTCCCTGAGCAATGCTATTTTTTGGTGCATCTGGTGCAATCTGTTCTATACAGCCATGTAATAATGGCAGCTATTGCAAAAGCTTTTCCCAACATTGCAAGGCTGCCTTATTGTCTTTATATTCCATCAATCTCTTTCCAAATTGAAATTAAAATGGAAAAGTGTTATGGAGTAAGGCAAGAGTTAAACTGAGGCAAATTGATTCCAATTTATGTGTGCTTCAATGGGCACTGTTACTGGTGTTATGCTTGTGTTTGCAGCACCTAAAAATAAGGCCGTGTCATCTCACTTTTCTATCCAGTTTCTTTTATTCAGCCTTCACGTTGGTTTTTGGGATGCTTACAATCCTTATCTTCATGAAATGGGAAAAAAATTTACAACACTTGTTTAAAGAAAATTGTCAAGTGCAGCCATACATTAAATTCTTTGTTGGAGATGATTTTTTTCCCTTCTGTTGTCATTATAAGAGCAGTTTTACCTTTCCTTGAACTTCTCCGTAACATTTGCCTGTAGATCAAGTCTAGATCCAGATTTTCTCTTGTGCATTATTTTTGGAGTCTAGAATCCAAGATTTTTCTCTTTTTGGTTATGGTTACATGCCTTTTACTGTATTACAGCATCTTGTTGAACCTTTCTCCAACTCAAACTCTGGCAGTGCGCCATTCAGTTCCCTTTTACTTAGCAGCCACTGTCCTCATTCTGACTCTATCTGCTCTACCCTGTGGATTTCTTGCAGTTTCTTATTTGATAACCTCAACAACAGTTGGCGAGAGCTTTGATGCTAACTCTGTCTATCCAACAGATCTTCCCCTGTTGTTCCCTTCTTTGTATACTTTCTTTGGCATGTTATTAATTGGTTATCGTTGTATAAAACTGGTTGAATTTCATCACCCTGGCTTTTGCTTTGGTATGGTGTTCAGGTCAAAAAGGTTTGTTACATCTGTTTTAGTTATTGATGTAACAGGGAAATCACATTCTTTTACCTTTGCTCCACATGCAATGGTCTTTGACTTGAAATCACAAATTAATTCAAAATTCAACATAGCAAGTGATTTATACTGGCTTTCAAATAAAGGCAAACCTTTACAACATGAGTTTGTGCCTTTACGGGAAATATCAGCAGGGGCTGTTATAATGAATGGGCGTTTAACTGGAGGTGCAGAATGTTGCCTTAAGGGGTGCAAAAATGATGTTGGCATTCGAAAATTTGACAGCTTAATTGGAAGGTATGAATTGAAGTTGTCCCCCCAAGAACTTACTGATCATGATGATGTTCACAATCTAAGAGTGTGTAACAAACACTATTCTAGTTTGGCATCCACAGGACAAATTCCCGCAAAGGGTAAAACTCAATCCAAAACCCGAAGTGACGCCTATCATGGAATTTTCAAGCTCAATCCATGCATTGTGCAATGTTCACAGTGCAAAAAAAAATGTCTGTCTTTCCAGTGACATTCGCTGCCTGAAACCCAATATTTATGTGTTTAACAATTTGTTTGCAGTGGCATGCAGCTTTCTAGATAAGACAAATGGAAGTAAAAACTGACTTTCACCATGACCTATATAAAGCTAGAGATTCAAATGATAATAAAATCTCAAATAAACTACATATGTATGTCATGTCAACCATTCTATTTAAAATCTGTCAAAATACAGGATGAGTAGAAGAAAGCTAACGCTATGTTTGAAAAGACACAAAAAGTTACCAATCCATCAATTTTAACTGCTGACCCTGTTATCCAAGCCAAATCAAAAGCAGGGAGCATCACTTCCACTCAAGCATCTGGGGAAGAGGAAGCAGAAGCAACATTGGAGTTGCCTGATGTACTTTCAGACCTAAAAGGAGGGATTTTTGCGAAAGGGTTACTGCAACTTCTGGAGGAACACAGACCTAAACCAAACACAACCGGTGGATTTTTCCAGAAAGGGACTCTGAATATTGGAAGCACCGTCTAACCTCCCGTAAGTGACCACCCAGAATGCAAAGATTGAGTGGTCGCTTACAGGAGATGGTCGTTTATAAGAATCGAACCACAGGGGGTCTCTTCTGAGAAGAGGTCAACGCCAGCCACATCTACTTTATGGAAGATAATTTATTGCATGCAATGTCTTAGTTACGATATGTGTTGTCACTAAAGTTCTTCGTATATTCTAAGTAACATAGTGCATACTCAGCGAAAATAGAGATCAGAGAATGCGCCAACTGGTCGCTTACAAGAGGTTAAAAACAATGGAAAATCGTTAACCGTCAGGCCCAAAACATGGTCGCGGTCCCGGACAGGAGGTGGTTGTTTACTAGAGGTTCTAACTGTAAGGTTTTGACAGGGAAAGTTTTGGATTGGTGGTCTCTTATGGAAGGTGGTCACTTACGAGAGGTGGTCTAAATACCAAATACCAAAAAGTTAGAAAAACAAGATACTAAATATCCATATTGCAG